AATGTTTGGTAGAGTCCTCAAATGTTTGGTAGAGTCCTCAAATGTTTGGTAGAGTCCTCAAATGTTTGATAGAGTCCTCAAATGTTTGATAGAGTCCTCAAATGTTTGATAGAGTCCTCAAATGTTTGAGTCCTCAAATGTTTGAGTCCTCAAATGTTTGAGTCCTCAAATGTTTGAGTCCTCAAATGTTTGAGTCCTCAAATGTTTGAGTCCTCAAATGTTTGAGTCCTCAAATGTTTGAGTCCTCAAATGTTTGAGTCCTCAAATGTTTGAGTCCTCAAATGTTTGAGTCCTCAAATGTTTGAGTCCTCAAATGTTTGAGTCCTCAAATGTTTGAGTCCTCAAATGTTTGAGTCCTCAAATGTTTGATAGAGGCCTCAAATGTTTGATAGAGGCCTCAAATGTTTGATAGAGGCCTCAAATGTTTGATAGAGGCCTCAAATGTTTGATAGAGGCCTCAAATGTTTGATAGAGGCCTCAAATGTTTGATAGAGGCCTCAAATGTTTGATAGAGGCCTCAAATGTTTGATAGAGGCCTCAAATGTTTGATAGAGGCCTCAAATGTTTGATAGAGGCCTCAAATGTTTGATAGAGGCCTCAAATGTTTGATAGAGGCCTCAAATGTTTGATAGAGGCCTCAAATGTTTGATAGAGGCCTCAAATGTTTGATAGAGGCCTCAAATGTTGATAGAGGCCTCAAATGTTGATAGAGGCCTCATATGTTTGATAGAGGCCTCAAATGTTTGATAGAGGCCTCAAATGTTTGATAGAGGCCTCAAATGTTTGATAGAGGCCTCAAATGTTTGATAAAGTCCTCAAATGCTCATTTGTTTGTTTTAAATTTTGAAGTAAAATATTTTAATATAATTTTTTTTTAATGTTTCTTAAAACCTTTACAGGTGTACAATGAAAATGACAGTGTCCCCTCTGGGGACAGTTGCAACACATGTTCCTGCTCTGCCCAGTTTGGAATTATTTGTACGGAGATGGCGTGTCCACCAGCCTCCCCCGAAACTCCACCCCCACCGATCACATGTGAAAAAGACGGCGTGGTATGTGGTGGTTAACTGTATCATAACTTAAACCGAATTATATCATTAATTTTACAAGTGTATCATAACTTTAACCGAAATGTATCATTTCTTTTAAAAATTGCATCATAACTTTACAAAATGATATTACGACTTCACCAAACAAATTGTATCAAAACATTGCCCAATTGTATCACGACTTTACCAAATTGTATCATAGTTTTAAAAATTGTGACCTAACTTTACCAAATTGTATCATAACTTTACCCGATTGTATCAGAACTTTACCATATTGTATCATAGGAATAACTTTGAGATATATGATCTTATTTATTTTTTGTTTTTTGTTTTAAAAAATCAAACGATAAAAAAAGAGGGGAAAAAAAGGAGAATCTTTAGTTTTAGTTTTACTCTTATGTACTCGCTTCTTATGTGTAACGGAACTTGAATTTAAATTTAACAAAAGAGTAAGTCTTCAAATGGTTTAGTCATCTACTGATTGAAAGAGTCCTCAATTCCTTGATATTACTGAAATAATTCATTTCAAGATCCCCCCTCATTTGCTAGGTTAAGATTTAATCCTAGTTTTCAAGTCTATAGAGGTTTAAACAATTTTGTTCACGATCAGTTCAAAGATATAACTTTATTGTTTTTTATAAAAAAATGTGTATAGTAAAATATTTAAATGTAAATACATTTTTTATGTTTTTTTAAAAACAATTACAGGTGTACAATGAAAATGACAGTGTCCCCTCTGGAGACAGTTGCAACACGTGTATCTGCTCTGCCCACTCTGGAATTATATGTACTGATATGTGGTGTCCACCAGCTTCCCCCGAAACTCCTTCCCCACCCATCACATGTGAAAAAGACGGTGTGGTATGTGGTTTTACAATGTATCATAGCTTTACCAAATTGTATCATAAATTTACACAATGATATCACGACTTTACCACATTGTATCATAAAATTTCCCATTTGTACCACACCTTTAACGTATTCTATCTTATATATACCAAATTGTATCACAACTATTCCAAATGGGATCATGACTTTAACAAACTGCATCATAGCTTTTCCGAATTCTAGCATGACTTTACCAAACTGTATCATAAATTTAAAAAAAATCATATCATAACTTCTCCAAATTACATCATAACTTTACCAAAATGTATAACATGACCAAATTATATCATAAATTTACCAATTGTATCATAACTCTACAGCATTCTGTTCTAGCTTTACCAAATTTTAACATAACTTTACCAAATTATATAATACCATTATCAAAGTGTATCATAAATTTACAAAACTTTATCATAACTTTACCATATTGTATCCTAAGAAGAATATTGGGACGTACGATCGTATTATTTCTTTGTTAAATTAAGTTTGAAAAAAAATCAAAACTTAAAAAAGAGGGAATAACGACACTAATAATAACAAAACATTAAGGGCTACTCTTATTTACTCGCTCTTTATGATTATTGGAACTGGAGTTTTGAATTTATGGAATGAGTGAGTCCTCAAACAAATGAAAAAGTTATCAAATGATTAAGAGTCCTCAAATGATTGAGAGTCCTCAAAAAAATGAAAAAGTTATCAAGTGATTAAGAGTCCTCAAACAAATGAAAAAGTTATCAAATGATTAAGAGTCCTCAAACAAACGAAAGTCATCAAATGATTAAGAGTCCTCAAACAAATGAAAAAGTTATCAAATGATTAAGAGTCCTCAAACAAATGAAAAATTTATCAAATGATTAAGAGTCCTGAAACAAAAGAAAAAGTTAAACGATTAAGAGTCCTCAAACGATTGAGAGAGTCCTCAAACGATTAAAATATTACTCAAATGTTTGAAATAATCATTTAAATGATTGATGGACTCTCAAATGATTAAATAATCCTCAAATTATTGAAGAAATCTTCAAAAATTGCAGGAATCGTCAAAGGTTTTGAAAAGAGCCCTTAAATGATTGAAATAAGTCTTAATGTTTAAAACTTTACTGAGGAGTTTTTAAAGCCCGTGACGATTATCTGAATATCATTTTGGGAGCTCAAATTGGATATCATCTAAAACTAGTTTTTTAGGTGTCCAAGAAATTCATTAAAATTATTCTTTTCTTTCCAAAGATGTATTCATTGTTAATTTGATAAGAGCAATAATTGCGAAGTAAAGATGTCTACGATGCGAACATGAATAAGTATTTAAGTTATGACTAAATTTTTTTTAACATTAGGATTCCAGTAGAATCCATATAGTAAGCTTGTATATCCTATTTGAACTTTTGTGTCCAGGTTTACAACGAAGGAGACTCCGTGCCTTCAGGGGATTGCAACATTTGCACATGCAGCAATGGTGACGTGGTGTGCACCAAAATATATTGTCCTTCCATCTGCACGTTCAATGGAGTTGTGAGTTTGTAATATCTACGTCACAATTTGTCAACAAACAAAACTGGTTCTATGGATTTATTTTGAAACGGAGGTTGAGAAGAAAAAAAGAGGTGGGGGTGGGTTAAATTATCGTGTATTATTATTCTATTCCTTTTTAGCATACACTTTGGGATCTGTACAGCTTTGAGTTTAATAAAAGATAAATCATTTTGTAAACTACAATTAAAGTACTTGAAATACAACCGAGTTAGTTAAGTAAACGTTTAGTTTGTACAAGGTATTTTATACATATTTATGTCTATAGTTTTTTGTTTTTTTTTCAATTTCTTGCTAGACGTTAGATGTAAATGTAAATTTGAAAAATTGAAGGTTTAAAACAAATTGTTGAGTTTGACGATGAGTATTTGTGTCCAGGATTACAACGAGGGAGAATCCGTGCCTTCAGGGGACTGCAACAAGTGTACATGTAGAAATGGCAGCGTGGTGTGCACCAAAAAATATTGTCCTTCCACCTGTAAATTTAATGGAGTTGTGAGTTTGAGTTTTAAATTTTCATTGTCAGGAACCCAATTGAAGTAGTAAATTATTTTATTTATTTTTTGTTGTAAAAAAGTAAATGCTCTTATATACTTTATTTCTACTGGAAAATCTTGTATTGACTCTTTTTTTTTTTGAACACACGTGACCTTCTGACTCAGTTCATCGTTTGGTTCATTCAGTGATCGGTGGGAGAGGGCTGGATGGCGGGGCTCAAATGATAGAAGTAGTATTTTGGGAAGGGTGGTTCGAAAGGGGTTAATGGCAGGATATACGGCGTTTAGACTCGAAACAGCATACGGCGATTGGACGCGGAACAAAATACGGCGGGTGATTATTTTTATGAATCGCCTCAGCCGCAAAAAAATCGTTTTTATTTTATTGCACGCCTAGGTAAAGACTAAAGTTACTTAAGCTTGTTACTTGGTTGTTTTAAAAAGTAAATAATTTTAAATTAGCCGATAATTTAAGGATTACAAATTTAATACTAAAAAGTAGAACATAAAAAATATTCCAGTTTTTTTTTGTTTTTTTATTAGAAAAAATGTTCTTCTATTAATAGCGAGTTTAAAAGCACTGAAACTTATACAATAATTTAAAATTTCTTAAAATGCATTACGCAGAGTAAGTCTGTGCGGAAAATATCAGACAGAATCAGAATGAATGAAAACAAAACATAAATTATTCGCGTCTCCATTCAATTCGAATCCTTTGTATTCATCCAGTGCTTATCTGCACTCCCGCACAGTCTTTCCTTCTTCATGCTATTCAGTTTGTTTGGAAAAAGGAAATTCGTAAACTAAGTCTTAGCGATATGTTGGTTACAAAACGTGCCACATATCTTTTAATCAATATCCAATGCTTGTTTTAATTATGACACCAAAAACAAAGCTTTTGAATGAATTATGTATACATTTATATTTCTGTCCACTAAATTTCGTCAATCTCATAGTGTAAAATATTGTTAGATTTTACTTTTTTACTCTTAGGTGTACAATGAGGGTGACCCAGTCCCGGTGAACCGCTGTAAAGCCTGCATCTGTAAGGGTGGACGGATTAGCTGTATCAAGATAGCGTGCCCCCCACGCTCATGCTCCCAGTATGGTGTGGTAAGTCCGGGGGGTGGGGGTGTGTCCATCAGGCTAATGCTCCAAGGATGGTGTGGTCCTCCAGTCTCATGCTCCCACGATGGTGTGGTAAGTCCGGGGGGGGGGGGGTTGGCAGATTTCATAATAAGTTTTTTTCAGTTCAGGTATTTGGTCTAACATTTTTGTAAAATTGGTCCTCCAGTCTCATGCTCCCACGATGGTGTGGTAAGTCCGGGGGGGGGGGATTGGCAGATTTCATAATAAGTTATTTTCAGTTCAAGTATTTGGTCTAACATTTTTGTAAAATATCCGTGGCGCTGGTATTTTGAAAATGATTCTAATGGGAATAGAAATGGGCAATATAGAGAACTTTATACAGAACAAAGAAAGAATATTCATCTAACTTTGTTATTTTGAAAGTCTTTTTATGTAATAAAATTTGACATTATTAACGAATCTTGCGAGTGTCTGTCCATTTTATACATATTAAAGTGTTTCAGGCTAAGCTCTGTCTCTCCATGACATAGGAAATTAGGTTAACGACTCACATATATTTTCATACCAATGATTTGTGCTATTCACTCAATTTTTTCGGTTCCACATTATTTTTTTTTTAAAGTATGTCTTTTTACATCAGTTGAATTTTGTGTCTTAAATGGTGCTTTTTGTGTGTGTGTGCGCTCAGCACAGTGGATAATTTAAGTTTATTAAAACTTTAATTTTATTCGCCAGGTGTACAATGATGGCGAGTCGGTTCCATCTGGAGACTGTAACATATGTATCTGTAATAATGGAAGCATTGATTGTACCAAAATAGTATGTCCAGTAACATGTACATTCAAAGGAATAGTAAGTTGTATATTATATCTTTCAAATCGCACAATTTTAGGTTATATTATTGATTATTTAAAAGTATGTCTTTTTACGTCAGTACAATGGTTTGTTTTAAACTAAGTTGTCTTAAATGGTGTATCTTGTGTGTGTGTGTGCATGGCAATGGGTCCCTAAATTAGTTTTTAAAACTTAATTTTTTTTAACCAGGTGTACAACGATGGCGAGTCGGTACCATCAGGAGACTGTAACACATGTACTTGTAACAATGGAACTGTTGTGTGTACCACAAGAGCCTGTCCCATAACATGCTTTTTTAACGGAATTGTAAGTTGTATTTTGTTTTATTCAGAACACACAATTTTTCGGTTATATTTTTAGACTTAGGTTGCACGTGAATCTTATTTATAATTCTGAAATGGAGCATAACAAACAAAACAAAAACAGGCCAACAACAGTTTTTTAAAAGTCTTTTTCTTATTGTGGCTCAGCAGAACTGTTAGATGGATAGACATTGGGAAAGTGTAATAAATTTAAAATGTATATATAATTAAATACAAACTACCCAGTTCTTTTTGTAAACTCTTATTTAAAGATTGGTAAGGCGATTTGTTTACAAAATATGAATATTCCATAACTTTAAATTTCAAGAACTTAAATATAAATTCGTGCTAAATTAATGATTTTTTTTCTTCACTGCCAGTTTGAATATGTCGCCTTTAGAGATTATTTGATTGTTGAAAAATTAAAATGTCTCGCAACACTAAGCCGCCTTTACACAATTTCAAAACTTTCTGACGTAGACGTAGAGAAAGGTGGTAAGGAATATATAGTTACTTCATAACGCAATCTATTTCTTAAATAAATCTTTGGAATAAAAATATTTAAATGATCTAAGATGTTTAACTCTGTACGTACCTAAGATGGTTAAATCTTGGCGGCTTACCTAAGATGGTTAAAGCTGTATTTATCGGAAATGGTTAATTCTCTACTTATCAAACATAATAAACTCTTCATAGGGATACAAATGGTTAACGTTTTATCTGTTATTTTCAAACAGAAATCAATGTTCTTTTCTTGATATTTGTTACTTTTTCTAACATAGTTTGTTGGATCAGAGATCAGAAATAAGAGATTTGCAACACAAACCAAGACTATCATTAATTTCTTAAATATTTTTTTTTTTTTTTTTATAAACATAATAAAAAAGAATGTCTTACTAATATGCAAGCAAAAGCATGAAATTAAACCACTCTATGCCCGTATTAAAAAGCAAGTTAACTTTTTTTTTTCGTGGAATAGTTGTTTAAATTTTTTTTTATAAATTTCAATTCTATTTTAATTATATTCGTTTATTACGTGTCGTGGAACTGGAATTTTGAATGAATTTAAATTTTTGAATGGAATTTTTGAATGAAATTGTATGAATGAATTTAGCGAATGAATAAAAAGGTGTTCAAACTTTTGCATCATTTCAGATGATTTTTTAAAACTGCTGAAGACTATCAGAACAATATTGTGGGAGCTTATTTTATATATCTAGTAATTTAAAAAAAAAAATTATCATGGAAATGAGTTGAAATCACTCTTTTCTGCCCAATAATTTTTATACTGGTATTTTGATTGGGCCATAATTGCAAAGTCAGGATTTTTATGAAGCAAAGATAAATAAGTATTTAAGTTATGAATCCCCCCCACCCCCCATTTTAACGGAATTAAATATCAGCTTTGTATATCTGATTTTTTATTTTTATAGGTTTACTACGAAGGAGACTCTGTGCCTTCTGGAGACTGCAACAATTGTACGTGTAGGCATGGAATTGTGGAGTGCACTAAAATATATTGCCCTTCCATCTGTACATTCAATGGAGTCGTGAGTTTTATGTTTAGCTTTGCTTTGCCAGGAACATTATTGAATTGGGGAACTTTTTAAAAGAAAAAAAAATGCATTTTATTTCAAGTCAAAAATCCATACGGTTTGGATGTTACATTGCATCTAGAACTTTGTTTTGCCTCTCTCTCAGTTCATTGTTGTTGATTTCGTCGCTTCATTCAGTGATGAGGTTGGATGACGGAGCCCAGCTAAGGAAAAATTGATATCCGAAGGGGTAGTTAGAAAGGGATTATATATAAGGGCATATACAATTAGTCCCGAAACAATGATTAAACACATCTTAAAATTTGTATGACTTGAATACAAACTTCCGCGTTTTCTTTTTTTTTTTTTTTTGGACAACTTTTTGAAGATTTAAACATTGGTATGACCATTTTTTTACAAAATGTGAATATCCAAAAGGTTTTTTTTTTTTATTTTAAAATATTAAACTGTTCATAGATAACTTTTTTTTTCTTTTTTTTTTTTTTTTGGACAACTTTTTGAAGATTTAAACATTGGTATGACCATTTGTTTACAAAATGTGAATATCCAAAAGGTTTTATTTCTATAGTTTAAAATATTAAACTGTTCCAAGATAACTGTTCCAACTGTTAACTCTGTACTTGCCAAAGTTGGTTTACTCTGTACGTATCTAAGATGGCTAACTTTGCATGTATCGAAAAAGGTTTAATCTATACTTATCTAAGATGGTTAACTCTTTGTAAGCATACTAATCATGCACTTGTTTCTTTTGTGAAATAGTTTTCTGGATAACAGATCCTTAATACGATTATGAAATACATACAGAGGCATACAATAATTCCTTAACTGCTTTTCGTTTTTTTAATTTTTAATATAAGAATAACAAAAATATGTCTTACTAATATGCAAGCATTAACCTAAAAATGAGACAGCTCTAGATGGTATAAAATTAGGGAGTTCAAAAAACATTTTCCATGTGATAGTTTTAAAATTTAAAATCTATTCCATATAGACTCGTTTCTAATGTCTCTTGGAACCTGAAGTTTGAATTTAGCGAATGACTTAAAGAGAACTTTAATGTTAGCAACGTTCCCTAAAAGTATATAAAACTGCTGACGATTATCTGCACACAATTTAAGGGAGGTTACATTTTATATCATCTAGCAATGATTTAATTTGTTTTCAATATACAAGAAATGCGTTGAGAACATACATTTTTGTGCAATGGTTTATTTATTGGTATTTTTTATTGAGCAAGTTTGCAAAGCACACATTTTTCTGATGCAACCATGAATTAATATTTACGTCATATACGTTTTTTTTTAAAATTAGGATTTTAATGGATGCCTTCTCGTCAGCTTTTTTATATCTGATTTAAAATTTTGTCCAGGTTTACTACGAAGGAGACTCCGTGCCTTCAGGGGACTGCAACAATTGTACATGTAGGAATGGCAAAGTGAAGTGCACCAAAATAATTTGTCCTCTCACCTGTAAATTCAAGGGAGTTGTGAGTTTTATGTTTAAATTTATGTTGCCAGGAAACCAATTGAATTAGTCTATTATTTTATAGAAAAAAGTGCATGTTCTTAAAAAAAATTGTTTTGACGCGAATGTCCACTAGGGTATGGCATAAGCAATAAGATCATGAACAACCTATGGCGTTTAGACTCGGAACAACAATTTAAAATGTTTAATAATTAAACACCAACTACCGTGTTCTTTTTGACAGGCTTTTATTTAAACATCGATATGAATATTAGCTTACAATATATGAACATCCCACAACTTTTTATTTTAAAATCTAAATATATTTTTTCCTCATTACATTATTATTTCTTCAATACCAGTTCCAACATATCGCTTTTAGAGATTGTTTAATAGTTAAAAGTATTAAATATCGGTCATGAAAAAGATGCCGGCACAGAATTTTAATTCTTTGAGACTTAGTGAAATTTTAGGTAAGTGGTTTTCAAGATGATAAATCAAATATATTATGTTCCAAGTGCATATACATTTTTAAATTAAATGTTCCGTTTAAAGTATTTTAATATTCTAAGATGGTAAACCCTGAACATATCTTAGAAAAATAATTCTACATGGTAATACTAATCGTGCACGTTTAATCAATTATTTTCAAAAAGAAATCAATTGTATTTTCTAGAAATTTGTTACTTGTGTAAAATAGTTTACTGGACAACATATCAGTAATGATACATTTAAAATACAAAAGGAGGCATATATTATCCTCTTAAATGCTTTTCACTTTTTCTATTTTTTTTTAAATATCTGAATAATAAAGAATTATATCTTACTAATATGCAAGCATTAACCTAAAAATTAAACAACTCTAGATAAGTATTTAAAAAAAATTAGCCTATATTTTTCGTAAACTAGTTTTATAAATTTTAAATCTATACCCTATATATTAGCCTAATATGTGTCATGAAACTGAAATTTTGAACTTAGCGAATAAATTGAAAAAGGTGTTCAAACATTTGCATCAATTCAGAGGAGTTATTTAAAACTGCTGAAGACTATATAAACAATATTTAGGGAGCTTAAACTGTAATTGACATAGAAATATTTAAAGTTTTTTTTATTATCCAAGAAATGCGTTGAACTCTCTTTTCTGTCCAAAAATTTATATACTAGTATTTTGATTTAGCTTTAATTGCAAAGTAAAGATTTGTATGATGCAAACTTAAATCATTATTTAAGTCTTGTTTCCCCCCCACTCCCCCAAACCCATTTTTTAAAGCAAAATAAATAGACGCCCTTTAGCTCAGCTTTCTATATCTGATTTATTATTTTTTGCCAGGTTTACTACGAAGGAGACTCAGTGCCTTCAGGGGACTGCAACAATTGTACATGTAGACATGGAATTGTGGAATGCACTAAAATATATTGTCCTTCCATCTGTACATTCAATGGAGTCGTGAGTTTGATATTTAACATTGCTTTGCCAGGAACATTATTGAATTATGATTTTTTTAAAGAAAAATGCGTTGAAATCTCTCTTTTCTGTCCAAAAATTTATTTACTGGTATTTTGCTTTAGCTTTAATTGCAAAGTAAAGATTTGTATGGTGCAAACTTGAATTATTTACTTCTTGATTCCCCTGCTCCCACACATTTTTTAAAGCAAAATAAATAGACGCCCTTTAGCTCAGCTTTCTATATCTGATTTATTATTTTTGCCAGGTTTACTACGAAGGAGACTCAGTGCCTTCAGGGGACTGCAACAATTGTACATGTAGACATGGAATTGTGGAGTGCACTAAAATATATTGTCCTTCCATCTGTACATTCAATGGCGTCGTGAGTTTGATGTTTAACATTGCTTTGCCAGGAACATTATTGAATTATGATTTTTTTAAAGAAAAATGCGTTGAAATCTCTCTTTTCTGTCCAAAAATTTATTTACTGGTATTTTGCTTTAGCTTTAATTGCAAAGTAAAGATTTGTATGGTGCAAACTTGAATTATTTACTTCTTGATTCCCCTGCTCCCACACATTTTTTAAAGCAAAATAAATAGACGCCCTTTAGCTCAGCTTTCTATATCTGATTTATTATTTTTGCCAGGTTTACTACGAAGGAGACTCAGTGCCTTCAGGGGACTGCAACAATTGTACATGTAGACATGGAATTGTGGAGTGCACTAAAATATATTGTCCTTCCAACTGTATATTCAATGGAGTCGTGAGTTTGATGTTTAACTTTGCTTTGCCAGGAACATTTTTGAATTATAATTTTTTTTAAAGAAAAAGATGCATGTTGTCAAACATTTCATTTCACACAAAAATTCATGTGGTTTGGATGTAAAGTTGCATGAAAAAACGTTTTCACTCTGTCTCAGTTTAATCGTTAATTTCGTCTGCTTCGTTCAGTGAACGGCGGAAGAAGTTTGGATAAGGGAGCTCAGATAAGAAATAAATGATATCCGGGAGGGTAGTTAGAAATGGTTATGATTAGGGCATATACAATTAGATCCGTAACAATATACGACGATTAAACTCGAAACATCTAAAAATTGTATTCATTAAATACAAAATGCTACTTTCTTTTTGACAATTTTTTTATATAAACATTGGTATGATCATTTATTTAAAAAATATGATCATCCCGCAACTTTTTATTACAACAAGCTGAAGATAAATTTGTCCCAAATTAATTTTTTAAAAGTTATTTAAAACCAGTTAAAATGTATCGCCTTTTAGAGATTATTAGTTGTTAAAAGATTTAAATGCAACTCATTACTATGCTGCCTCACCACAATTTTTACCCTCCAAGACTTAGGGACATTAGGCAAAAGTGGTTTGGAAGATGTTATTTTAAATATACAACATTCCAACTGCAATAGATTTTTAAAATAAATCTATAGTTTAAAGTATTGAACTGCTATAAGATGGTTAACTCTGTACATATGAAAATTACTTTATTATGTAGGTCTCTAAGATGGTTATTTCATTTTCACATACTAATGGTGCACTTGCTACTTTTGTGAACAAGTTTCCTAGAGAACAGGGCAGTAATACGATATTAGACAAACATACGGAGGCCTACAATAATTCCTTAAATGCTTTCGCTTTTCTGTCTTTTAAATAAAAAATAACAAAAAATGTCTTACTAATATGCAAGCATTAACCTAGAAATTATACATCTCTAGATGTTATAAAATAGGGAGTTCAAGAAACATTTTAAGTGTGATAGTTTTATAATTTAAAATCTATTCCATATATATCCGATTCTTATGTCTCTTGGAACTGTATTTTGAATTTAGCGAATGACTTAAAGAGAACTTCCCTTTATGTATTTACAACTTTTGATGATTATCTGAAAAAGAAATTGGAGTTTAAATTTTATATCATCTAGCAATGATTTAATTTGTTTTAAATATACAAGAAATGCGTTAAAATCGCTCCTTTCTGTCAAATGCTTTATTTAATGGTATTTTTTATTGAGCAATATTTGCGAAGCACATATATTTATAATGCAAACATGAATTAGTATATGTTATATTTTTTTTTTAAATATAGATTTTAATGGATGCGATCTAGCCATCTTTGTATATCTGATTTGACATTTTGTGCAGGTTTACTACGAAGGAGACTCTGTGCCTTCAGGGGACTGCAACAATTGTACATGTAGAAATGGCAAAGTGAATTGCACGAACAGAATTTGTCCTCCCACCTGCACATTTAATGGAGTTGTGAGTTTTATGTTTCATTTTACTTTACGAGAAAATCATTTCAATTAATCAATTTTTAAACAAATAAATACTTGTTCTTTAAGACTTTACTTCTACGCAAAATCTGCGCTGTTTTTTTTATAGCCTTGTATTTAATTTAGTTTGTTTCCCTCTCTCGCACAATTCATCGTAGTTAAGTTTGTCTACTTCGTTAAGTGATCGGCGAAAGAATGCTGGGTAGGGGATCTCGGAAAAGGAATGTATAATTTGCTGGATGGTAGTTTGAAAGGGGTTAAGTGTTGGGCATATACATATAGATTCGGAACAACATATGTTGATTAGACAGGTAACAACGTTGAAAAAATGTTGAATAATTAAATACAAACTACCACGTTCTTTTTGAAAACGCTTTTATTTAATCATCAGTATGACGATTTGTTTACAATATTTGAATTTCTTACAATTTTTTTACTTGTTGAAATATAATTCTTTAAGTAACATTCGATTATATTGTTTTTAGGGGTAATGTCATTGTTAAAAGTTTAAAATATCGGCCAAGGGTAATTTGCCTGTACATATTTTTAATTCTATACAAATTTAGAGAACTTAGACAAAAGTGAATTTAAAGATGCTAAATCAAATAAATTTTTATTCCAAATGCATTTAAGTTTTTAAATTAAATCTTAATTTTATAGTATTTAACTGTTCTAGGTTGGTGAACCCTGTACTTATCAAAATTGGTTAACTCTTTAAATATTAAAGATCGTTAACTCTGTACTTTTCTAAGAAGGTTAACACTACGTGGGAATTCTAATGTTGCATGTTTCATCAATTATTTTCAAAAAGAAATCAATGTAATTTCTGTAAATTTGTTTATTATGTGAAATTAATAACTTGATAACAAATCAGTAATAGTAGATTTAAAATACTTTATTTCTTAACTGCTTTTCGCTCTTTTATTGTTTAATATTGGAACAATTAACATATATGTCTAAAAATATGCAAGCATGAAATTAAAAGTTAAACAACTCTAGATCTGTATTTAATAAAAAGTAGAAAAGCACAATATTTTCCTTTGAACTATTTTATAATTTTTAAATCTCTTCCATTTATACTGGTTTTTATGTCCCTTGGAGCTGGAATTTCGAATGAAACTAATGACTAACTGAGAGTTCAAATTTTTTCAACGTTTCAAAATAGTTTTTTTTAAAAATACTGACGACGTTCTGAACAAATATTTGGAAAATTACATTTTATAACATTTAAAAGTTATTTAATTTTTTTAAAAAGTTTTTTAAGTAAAAAAATTTTTTTCTTCTGTTCAATGATTTATTTATTGGTAATTTGTTTGAGAAATATTTGCAAATTAAATATAGTTTTGATTCAAACATGAATTAGTATTAAATTATTACTAATTTTTTTTATTTTTAGAATTTTATCTGGAGCCATCTTGTCAGCTTTGCATATATGATATGAATTTTTTGTCTAGATTTACAATGAGGGAGACTCCGTACCTTCCGTGGACTGCAACACTTGTACATGTAGAAATGGCAAAGTGAAGTGCACCAAAATAATTTGTCCTCCCACCTGTACATTCAATGGAGTTGTGAGTTTTATGTTTCATTTTCTTTGCCAGGAAACCATTTGAATAAATCAATTTTGGATCCAAAAAATACATATTTTAAAAAATTTACTTTATGCAAAAATCCGGGCTGTTTGTTTATAGCAGTGTATAAGATTTAGTTTCCCTCTCTCACCCAATTCAACGTAGTTAAGTTCGTCTGCTTCGTTTAGTGAACGGTGAAAGAAGGCTTGGTAAGGGATATCATAAAAGGAATTTAGAATTTGCAAAATGGTACTTTGAAAGGGTTTAAGTGTTGTGCATATACATATAGATTCGGAGCAACATCTGGCGTTTAGACTCGTAACAACGTTAAAAAAAATATTAAAGAATTAAATATAAACTACCTCGTTCTTTTTTAAAACGTTTTTATTTAAACATTTTTATGACAATTAGTTTACAACATCTTTATCCAAAAGATATTTATTTCAATAAGCTAAATATACATTTTTTACATGTTTAAATGTTATTTCTTAAATACCAATTCGAATATATCGCTTTTAGGAGTTATTTATTTATTAAAAGTTAAAAATATTAGCCAAGAGTAAAATGACTGTACACATTTTAAGTCTTCTAAAATTTAGGGAAATAAGAGAAAAGTGGTTTGGAATATGCTAAATCAAGTTCGTTAAACCTGTACATTTTAAAAATGGTTAACTCTGTAAATATTAAAGATCGTTAACTCTGTACTTATCTAAGATGGTTAACACTATGTGGGCATATTAATGCTGCACGTTTCAATTATTTTCAAAAAGAAATCAATTGTATTATTTTTTAATTTTGTTAATTCTCTAAGATTAATAACGTGATAACTAATCATTAAAAATAGAATGAAAATAAATGCGGAAGCATACAATTTTTACTCAGCTGCTCTCCTTCCTTTTAATTTTAATATTGGAACAATAAAAATATATGTCTAACAAATATGCAAGCAGTAACCAAATCATTAAACAACTCTAGATATGTATTTTGTAAGAAGTTGAAAAAAAAATGTTTTTCCTTGAACTATATTATCTTTTTTTAATCTATTCCATTTATTCTTGTTTTTATATCCAACGGAACTAGAGTTTTGAATGAAGCGAATGACTGAATGAGTTTTAAAATGTTTTCAACGTTTCAAAATAGTTTTTAAAACGACTGACGACTATTTGAAAAATATTTAGTAACTTGCAGTTTACAACATTTAAAGTTAATTAATTTTTAAAAATATGTAAGTGTTATTTTCATTTATATTTTTGTTGTGTAATGATTTTTTATTGGTAATTTGTTTGAGCCATATTTGCAAATTAAAGATATTTTTGATGCAAACACGAATTAGTATTTAAGCTATTCCTAATTTTTTTTTTAGGATTTCGTCTGAAGCCATCTTGTCAGCTTTCTATATATGATTTGATATTTTTTTGTCTAGGTTTACAACGAAGGAGACTCCGTGCCTTCAGTGGACTGCAACACTTGTACATGTAGAAATGGCAAAGTGAAATGCACCAAGAGAATTTGTCCTCCCACCTGTACATTCAATGGAGTTGTGAGTTTTATGTTTAAATTCTTTGCCAGGAAACCATTTCAATTAATCATTTTTAATAAAATAAATAAATGTTTTTCAGACTTTAATTTTACGCAAAAATTTGAGCTGTTTGTTTATAGCCTTGTATTTAATTTAGTTTGTTTCCCTCTCTCGCTCAATTCATCTTTGTTAAGTGTTGTCTGCTTCGTTTAGTGATCGGCGAAAGAAGGCTGGGTAAGGGATCTCAGAAACGGAATGTAGAATTTACACGGTTCCGTGACAAACGCGCACAAGACAATTGCGCACACGACAAACGCGCACAGACAATTCCGAAATGACACAAATGCGCACAGGACAAACGTGAACACCGATAGTTGCGCACACGGACAATGGCGCACACAGACAAATGCGGACACCGACAATCCCGCACAGTGACAAATGCGAACGGTTATATAAGCGCACACCGACAAATGCGCAAATAGCAAGTTATGCATCGCCAATTTAAAGATGATAATGGATTTAGTCTTAGTTGGTTTTCAGCCAAAATACATCATGTTTAAAGCTAACAATATATTAATAATCATAATAAATGTAATAATAATTGTATGCATATTTAAAAAAAAATTAACTTTTCAATGTCTAGACTAATAGTATAGTAATAAAATGTTCGTTCTAGTAGTACTGCTACGTCATGATTTTTAAGAGATGTCATTTAAAAAATTTTAATTGGATATTTAAGTCTTAATCAGCATGTTAAACCATCGTAGTATGATGGAAGCTCGTAAAATGATTATTAAACAAATAACAGCAGTACTACTACTTAAGCATATAGTTGAAAATAAGACGTATACTTATACATTATACTAAAAATAACTGTGGTTTTTTTTTTAATAAAAGAAAGAGGAATATTAGTCTTAAAATAAGAGTTGGCATTGCACTTTTCTAAAGGCAAAGTACGTTTTAAAACATGCATTCATGCAACCGATTTGAAAAATTTTTATTAGTGATTAACACGTAGTTTTATTCCGACCCCTCTTTCAACCCGCAGATTTATTAGGTACATAATCTTGGTTATTTATAGTGTAGAAGGAAGTCCTAATTGAATGATGAAATTACTGTTGATATTTTATTACACATAACTTTGCAATTAGGATTTAAACTACCATTAGAACAATACGCAAACTTAAAATTAAAGGTTAAAACCAGTTAGCTACGGTTCAGTTAGTTTTATATCTTCCACTCTCATAGTGAAAAAATTATTTCGACATTTAATATTTTTTTGTTAGCTACGGTTCAGTTAGTTTTATATCTTCCACTCTCATAGTGAAAAAATTATTTCGACATTTAATATTTTTTCTGAATTATTTTACATTCAATTTCTTTTGTTGTCTATTTTGTTCCTTTTTTCCTCCATACTTTGCCTTCCTTTCTGGTACTGAAAACTATTTGAACTAAATTAAATTTAAACATGTTTTTTTTTGTTTTAATTATAGCTTCATTGTCAGTTTGCGCATTTGTCGGTGTGCGCTTTTATAGCCGTTCGCATTTGTCACTGTGGGCGATTGTCGGTGTCCGCATTTGTCGGTGTGCCCCATTGTCCGTGTGCGCAACTATCGGTGTTCGCGTTTGTCCTGTACGCATTTGGGTCATTGCGGGATTGTCTGTGCGCGTTTGTCGTGTGCGCAATTGTCTTGTGCGCATATGTCTGGTCACCAATTTACACGATGGTAGTTTGAAACGGGTCAAGTGTGGGGCATATACATATAGATTTGGAACAACATATAGCGATGAGACTCGTAACAACTTTTAAAAAATGTTTAAAAATTAAATAAAAACTACCACGTTCTTTTTGAAAACGCTTTTATTTAAACATCGGTATGACGATTTGTTCACAATATATCAATATCCAACAACTTTTTAAATTAGATAATTTTTTTTACTTGTTTAAATAAAAAGTAACGATCGAATATATCGCTTTTTAGGGGTTATTTAATTGTTAAAATATCGGTCTCGAGTAAGAAGCCTGTACACATTTCAAAGTCTTCATAAATTTAGTGAAATTTAAGAAAAGTTGTTTGGAAGATGCCAAATCAAATATATTTTATTCCAAATGCATTTAAGTTTGAAATTAAACCTTAATTTTATAGTATTTAACTGTTCTAGGTTGCTGAACATTGCACTTATAAAAAATGATAAACTCTGTAAATATTAAAGATCGTTAACTCGGTACTTATCTAAGATGGTTAATGCTTCGTGAGCATACTAAAGCTGCATTTTTCATCAATTATTTTCAAAAAAGTAATCTATTGTATTTTCTTGACATTTGTTAATTCTGTGAAATAATTTAATGGAAAACAAATCATTAATAGTAGATTTAAAGTCCATAAGGTGGCCTACATTATTAATTTCTTAACTGCTTTCCGCTCTTTTATTGTTTAATATTGGAACAATAAAAATATATGTCATACAAATATGCAAGCATGAACCTAAAATTTAAACAACTCTAGATCTGTATTTAATAATAATAAGAAAAAAAAACAATATTTTCCTTGAACTATTTTATAATTTTTAAATCTCTTCCATTTATACTGGTTTTTATTTTCCTTGGAAATTGAATTTCGATTGAAGCTAATGACTAACTGGGTGTTCAAATGTTTTCAACGTCTCAAAATAGTTTTTAAAACTGCTTACGACTTTCTAAACAAATATATGGAATTTTATATTATAAAACATTTAAACGATATTTAATTTTTTTAAATGTTTAAGTGAAAACATTATTTAATTTGTTTTTTCTGTTTAATGATTTATCTATTGGTAATTAGTTGGAGAAATATTTGCAAATTAAAGATATTTTTGATGCAAACATGAATTAGTATTTAAGTTATTACTAAATTGTTTTTTCTTTTTTTCTTAGGATTTCATCTGAAGCCATTTTGTAAGCTTTGTATATATGATATGCATTTTTTGTCTAGATTTATAACGAGGGAGATTCCGTGCCTTCAGTGGACTGCAACACATGTACATGTAGAAATGGCAAAGTGAAGTGCACCACCAGAATTTGTCCTCCCACCTGCACATTCAATGGCGTTGTGAGTTTTAAGTTTATTTTTTCTTTGCCTAGAAAAAAATTAATTTGGTGTTTAAAAAAATATACATGTTAAAGACATTACTTATACACAAAAATCCACGCTGTTTTTATATAACCTTGTATTAAATTCCCACCCCCGCTCACTCACTTATTCGTAGTTAAGCTCGTCTGCTTCGTTCAATAACGGTGAGAGAAGGAACGGTTAGGAAACTGAGATAAGAAATGTAGGATATGTGGGGGGGGGGGGGTGCTCACTCACTTATTCGTAGTTAAGCTCGTCTGCTTCGTTCAATAACGGTGAGAGAAGGAACGGTTAGGAAACTGAGATAAGAAATGTAGGATATGTGGGGGGGGGGGAGGGGTTGTTCCAAAGTGTTTAGGGGCAAGGCATGTGCAGTTTGACTTAGAACACCATACGAAGATTAGTCTGGCGACGACATTTAAAACGTTTAAAAATTAAATACAAACTAACGCATTCTTTTTTTTTTACTTCGCTTTTATTTAAACATCGACAGGACAATTTGTTAACAAAATATGAATGTCCCAAAAGTTTTGATTTCAATAAACTAAACAATTTTTATCGTATTTAATTATTATTTATTGAATACCATTTTAAATATAGCGCTTTTATATTATATTAAATTGTTAAAAGTTTAAAATATCACTCCAAAAAAACACCTGAACAAACTTTTTTATTCTTTGAGTAAGGGAATTAGAGAAAAGTTGTTTGGGCGATGTTAATTCAATATATTTTATTCCAAATACAATTTGAAATACATACTGAGGTCTACATTAATTTCTTAACTGCTTTTCGCTTTTTCCCCATTTTCACTTTTTAATATCGGAATATTTTTAGAAAAAATAAGTCAAGCATTAACGTAAAGTTTAAACAAATCTACATCTTCATTAAATAATGAGTTCCAAAACAACAAATATCTTTTTTTTTCTTGAAATAATTTTATAATTTTCAATACAATTCCATATACACTTGTTTTTTCATGTTTCTTGGAACTGGCATTTTGAAAGAAGCGAATGACTGCAGGAGAGTTCAAATGTGTGCACCGTTTCAGATTACTTATTAAAACTGCTGACATCGACCTGAACAACATTTTGGAACTTTCATTTTATATCATTTAGAAGTTGTTGTTTTTTTTTTAAATGCCAAAATAATATTTTTTTCCCACTATTTTCTATCCAGAGATTTATTTATTTGTGTAAATTAAATTTACATTTATTAGCATTTAAAATGAAGCTATCTTGTCAGATTTGTATACCTGATTTGAAATTTGGTTTCCAGGTTTACAACGAGGGAGACTCCGTGCCTTCAGGGGACTGCAACACTTGTACATGTAGAAATGGCAAAGTGGAGTGCACAAACATAATTTGTTCTCCAACCTGCACAATCAATGGAATTGTGAGTTTTATTTTAAATTTGTATTAAGTTTATTTTAAATTCGACTCACACATAGTTCATCGTAGTTACTTTCGTCTGCTTCATTCAGTATGCAGCGGAAGAAAGTTGAGTAGCGAAGCTTAGAAAAGAAATGAAATATTTGCGGGAAGGTAGTGCCAAAGTATTCGGGGCATTTTATGTGCAATTAGACTGGGGAATTATATGGCTCTTAGACTCGGTAACAACATTTTTAAATGTTGAATAAATATACTAACTTCTTAATTTTTTGAAATGTTTTTTTTTAATTTTCGGTAAGTTGATTTTTTTTTAGGAATTAAAATGATGCTCTATTGTTAACTTTGTATATTACATTTGAACTTTTGTGTCCAGGTTTACAACGTGGGAGACTCCGTGCCTTCAGGGGACTGCAACACTTGTACATGTAGGAATGGCAAAGTGGAGTGCACCAACATAATTTGTCCTCCCACATGTACAATCAATGAAATTGTGAGTTTGATGTTTAACTTATTTTGCCAGACAAACAATTGAATTATTAAATAGTTTTAAAGACAAAAATATATCATAAAGTTTAAATATCTACGAAAAAGATCCACATTGTTTCTCCATAACATTGTTTTAAGTTTATTTTGAATCCATCTCTAACTTAATTCATCGTCGTTACGTTCATCTGCTTCGTTCAGTAAGTGGCAGAAGAAGGTTGGTTAGTTGAGCTTAGAAATGAAGTGAAGGATTTTCGGGAAGTTAGTTTTAAAATTTTTCAGAGAAGGTCATATGCATTAGACTGGGAACATCATACTGCAATTAGGCTCGGAAAAAGATTTTCCAATTTAGTGAGCATACATTTTATAGCATCTAGCATTTATTTAATTTTTTTTACACGTCAAAGTAATAATTTTATTATACTATTTTGATCTATCAAGATTTTTGTGTTGGTAATTTGATTGAGCAATAATTGTAAAGTAATTTTTTGTTAAAATTCGAACATAAATTAGTATTTAATTGATGACTAAATTATATTTTATTAGGATTTAAAGTTCCGCAGTTTTGTCAGCTTGGTTAATCTGATTTGAACTTTTGTGTCCAGGTTTACAACGAGGGAGACTCCGTGCCTTCAGGAGACTGCAACACTTGTACATGTAGAAATGGCAAAGTGGAGTGCACAAACATAATTTGTTCTCCCACCTGCACAATCAATGGAATTGTGAGTTTTATTTTAAATTTGTATTAAGTTTATTTTAAATTTGACTCACACATAGTTCGTTACTTTCGTCTGCTTCATTCAGTATGCAGCGGAAGAAAGTTGAGTAGCGAAGCTTAGAAAAGAAATGAAGTATTTGCGGGAAGGTAGTGCCAAAGGTATTCGGAGCATTTATTATGCAATTAGACTGGGGCATTATACGGCTCTTAGACTCGGAACAACACTTTTAAATTGTTAATAAATTATATTAATTTCTTAATTTTTTTAAATTGTTTTTTTAAATTTTCGGTTAGTTGATTTTTTTAAGGATTTAAATTGACGCTGTCTTTTTAACTTTGTATATTACATTTGAACTTTTGTGTCCAGGTTTACAACGAGGGAGACTTTGTGCCTTCAGGGGACTGCAACACTTGTACATGTAGAAATGGCAAAGTGGAGTGCACCAACATAATTTGTTCTCCAACCTGTACATTCAATGGAATTGTGAGTTTTATTTTAAATTTGTATTAAGCTTATTTTAAATTTGACTCACACATAGTTCAACGTAGTTACTTTCGTCTGCTTCATTCAGTACGCGGAAGAAAGTTGAGTAGCGAAGCTTAGAAAAGAAATGAAGTATTGCGGGAAGGTAGTGCCAAAGTATTCGGGGCATTTCATATGTAATTAGACGGGGCATTATACGGCTCTTAGACTTGGAACAATATTTTTACATTTTGAATATTTTATACTTACTTCCTCATTTTTTTTAAACGCTTTTTTGAAAATGTCGGTTAGTTGATTTTTTAAAGGATTTAAATTGACGCTCTCTTGTTAACTTTGTATATTACATTTGAACTTTTGTGTCCAGGTTTACAACGAGGGAGACTCCGTGCCTTCAGGGGACTGCAACACTTGTACATGTAGAAATGGCAAAGTGAAGTGCACCAAATTATTTTGTCCTGACACCTGTACATTTAATGGAGTTGTGAGTTTGTAATACCTGTTTCACATTTTTACAATAAGCAATAGTTTTTCAGTTGACTTGATTCTTAGTTCTTAAGGACTTTGGGGAATAAATTATTCTGCATTATTCTTTTCGTTTTAAGAAAAAATTTAAAATCTGTACAACTGATAGTTACATAAAAGGATGATATATTTACGTTAACTAAAAGTAATGTACTTCAAATGCAACTGATCATTTATGTGACATAAGCTTGTACAAGTTTTTGTGTATATATATTTAATATAATTTTTTATAGCTCGTTATAGAAAAATTTAAATGTAGTTAAAAAATGATGGTTTGAAACAAGTAGCGTCATTTTTTAAGGAGCATTAGTATCCAGAATTTCTACGAGAGATATCACATGCCTTTAGGGTTCTGTTACATCTGTACATGTGAAAAGGTCAAAATGGTGTTCACCAAAATATTTTGTCCCTTTTTTATGTACCTTCAATGGAATTGCAAGTTTTATTGTTAACAATTTTTGCTTAGACCAAACAGTGTAGCTGAAAAGTGTGTTTTTGTGTTGTATTTTGTTGGATTTATTTTTAATTTACTTTTTTGTCTGTGTTGTTGTTTTTTTTCTGGGGGTATCGAAACGTTCTTTTTTTCATCAATTATTAGAAAAAAAAGTTTTTTTAAAGGCTTTCTCTGGACTCCAAAATACATGGGATTAGTAAGTGAGGTTGTAGCATAATTTTGTATTTATCACATGTGATTCTCTCGCTCTGTTGATGATAGTTGATCGCGTCTTCTTCGTTTAATGAAAGCCGGGAGATTGTTGGGTAAGGAAGCTCATATTTTAGAGTTGTAGGATTTTGAGCAGGATGGTTCCGAAGTTTTTACGGGCTGAACATACTGCAATTAGACTTGTAAATACGTACGTCTCACTAAGCTTCTAAAATGCTACAGTCGTTAAACTCGAGTTTTGAAATAATTTTTTTTCGTTATTAAACAGTCAAGTTCATTTTTACCAGGATCTTTATTAAGCATTCTATATATAAAAAATGAAATAATACTACCTTTGTCCATACTTTAAAGATTACAATTTTAATACTTAAAAATAGAACATAAAAATATATCTTACATTAGGATTTCTATTAAAGACGAATTTAAAATAAAACAAAAATTAGAAAATAAATACATTTTTCTTAAAATGCATGACGCAAAGAAGTTTGTGCAAAAATATTTTATATTTAATAAGAATAAAACATTTGAATTCGCCTGTTTGTAATTCGAATCCTTAGGGTAAATAAAGTGCTAATCTTCACCCCCATAGAGTATTTCTTTCTTTTTATTTACCCCCATTGGTTTTTTTTTTTTTTTTTTTTTTTTTTTTTTTTTTTTTTTTTTTGGGGGGGGGGGGGGAATTCAATTCGTAAACTAAGTAATATGTTGCTTACAAGACGTGTCACAAGTTTTCAATCACTATCCAATGCTCGTTTTTATGATAAAACATCAAAATCAAAACCAATCAATTATATACATTGATATTTCTGTCCACCAAAATTGTGTTAATCCAATAAAGTGTAGATTTGTGAGATTTTCCTTTTTACTCTAGGTCTACAAGGAGGGTGAGATGTTTTCCTTGGACAACTGTAACACCTGTATCTGTAGGGGTGGACTGATTGGCTGTACAAAGAAAGTGTGTCCACCGGGATCCTGCTTCAAAGACGGTGTGGTATGTAGTGGGTCTTTATCAGATTTAATCATAACAAATTATTTTATTTTAAGTATTATATTTCACTTTTTTTTAACAGCCGCTGAGAGACTTTTTGTAAGTATTCTAAGGAAAGTAGAAATTAGCAATTTAGTATACCTTAAACAGGACACAGCAAGAACATTCATCTCTTTTTGTTACTTTGATTTTTTTAAATAAAATAAAATGTTGATTTTCTAACAGATATTAAGCGTATTGATAAGTGTCTGTCGTATTTTAGACGTCGTATTTTAGACATCTTAAAATGTGTTTCAAAATAATCTGTCTCTCCAAGACGTAGGAAAATAGGTTCATGTCTGTCTGACATTTTTATGTCACTGATTTGTACAGATTGTACAATTTTTCATTTATATTTTATTATTTAAAATTATTACTTTTTAATTCAGCACCTCGGTGTATCTTAAATGACATGCTTTAAATGGTATGTCTTAAAAGATTTGTCTTAAAATGGTGTCTCTTAAATTTTGTGTCTTAAGTAGGGTGTCTTAAACTGGGTTTTTTTTTCAGTGATAGGCAGTGGATACCTAACGATTTTTTTTTACTTTCATTATGTTCATAAGGTGTACAATGATGGCGAGTTGGTACCATCAGGAGACTGTAACACATGTTCTTGTAATAATGGAATCATTGTGTGTACCAAAATTGGATGTCCAGTAACATGTACTTTCCAAGGAATTGTAAGTATATTGTTATTGTTTTTTGGTCCTGTAAGTTAAAACAGCATAGGAAAACCGAAGTTCATGGACTGAAAGAGATCGAACTTAAATATTTCAGAAAATTCAGAATTTGATCCTGTCATCCATAGCTTAAAATGTCGTACAATAGCTTTACAAATGATATCATACTTCGGATAGAGAGTCCTGATAGGACATATATTATGAAAGTGTAAAAATTAAAAAAATTAAATACAAATATTTTTGTTCTCTCCTTCAATATTTTTATTTCAGCATCGTTTTTACGACTTGTTTATAGCATCTGTGTGCCAAAGTAATTTTTTATTGGACAAAGATAAAATTGTTCAAAATTTTTTTTACGGCTTTTAGAGAATATTTAATGATTGAAAGATTATACTGTCTTGCAATTCTAAGCCGCCCTTATGCAATTTTTAACTCTTTCAGATCCTGGGGAAATTAAAGAAATATGTTTGGGAAGATGTTAATACAAATACAGTTCATTCCAAATGCAACAGATTTTTTCAAATAATTATCAGTTTAAAGTATGTAACTTATATAAGATTGTTACCTATGTAGATATCAAAATCGTAAACTTTTAGGTATCTAAGATGGTTACCGCTTCGTGGTCATACTAATGGTGCACGTTTCAACAATTATTTTAAAATCGAAATCAATTGAATTTTCTTGAAAAGTGTTACTTTTGAGACATAATTTGCTGGATGAAAAAACCGTAATAAGATATTTAAAATATATACAGAGGCCTACTTTAATTTCTTAACTGAATTTTAACTTTTTGACGTCAGAATAATAAAAAAAAATTAATGTCTCACTAATATGCAAGAATTAACCTAAAATTTAGGAACTCTAGATCTGTATTTAATAGGAAGTTGTAAAAATATATTTTGTTTTTCATTCACTAATTTTATAATTTTCAAATCTTTTCCATTTATGCACGTTTTCTTATATTTCTTGAAACTGGAATTTTGAATTTAGCGAATGAATTAAAAAGTCCCCAATTTTTTGCATCGTGCCCCAATGAGTTTTTAAACCTGCTGACTACTATCTTAACAACAATTTGGAGCTTACATTTTTATATCAATCTAGAAGTTATTTAATTTTTTTAATGCAAAGTAATTCGTTGAAATCACTCTTTCATCCCAAAGATTTATTTATTGGTAACTTGTTTGAGCAATAATTGCAAAGTAAATATTTTTATAATGCAAACATGAATTTGTGTTTATGTTATCAGTAATTTTTTATTAGGATTTCATTGGACGCCATCTGTCAACTTTGTATATCCGATTTAATTTTTTCTGTCCAGGTTTATTACGAGGGAGACTCTGTGCCTTCAGGGGACTGCAATAATTGTACATGCAGCAACGGCAGCGTGGTGTGCACCAAAATGTTTTGTCCTATCACCTGTACATTTAATGGAGTTGTAAGTTTGTAATATCTGCTTCACAATTTGTCTACAAACAAAAATGTTTCTGATGACTTTGCTTTTCAGACCGAGGTTAAGGAGGGGTGGGGGGAGGGGACTATTATTCTTTTCATTTTTAGTATAAACTTTAAGATCTGTACCACTGTTAGTTAAATAAAAGAAATATTTTTAATGTAAACTACAATCAAATTACTTGAAATACTACTGAGTAGTTTAGGTAACGTTTGGCTAGTACAAGGTTTATGTATGTGCTATATAAATGTTAATAGTTCTTCAAAGAAAAGGATTCAAATTTAGGCTGCCTGTTTTAAAAATGATGGTTAAAACAAATTGTCATTTTTTTTAAAAGAGCATTTGTGTCCAGAATTTCTACGACGGAGATCACATACCTTAAGGGGGAATGTTACACATGTACATGTAGAAAGGTCAATGTGGGGTGCACCAAATAATTTTTTTCTTTCACATGCACCTTCACTAGTGTCGCCGAAAAGTGTAAGTGTGTGTGTGTGGGGGGTTTGAAGCGTTCTTAAAATAGTCAAATACTTGTTAGGGACATAAAATTGGAACGTAGCATAATTTTGTTTTTGCCACTCGTGATCCTCTTGCTCAGTTAATGGTGGTAGATCGCTTATTCATCGTTCAGTGATCGTCAGGAGAAGGATGGGTAGGGGAGCTCAGATAAGATTTGTATGATTTTTGGAGAGGGTGGTTCCGAAGTCGCTAGGGTTGAGGCCTACTGCAATTAGACTCAAAATACAAATGGCTTATGACCGGGGTTCTAAAACGCTGAATGTCTTTAAAACCATCCTTTGTCTTGTATGACGTTTTTAAGAGATAAGTCCATGTAATGAGGATTTTTTTGTAAGCTTTTGTGGTATAAAAAGTTAAATAATTCTACTTTAGTCAATAATTTAACAATTACGATTTTCATACTTAAAAGTAGAACATAGAAAATATTTTTTTTAAATTTTTTATGATTTCCTTCTAATACGAATTTAATCCAAAAAAGAAAGAAAAAAAAACAGAAAAAAAAGAAAAAAAAAAAATTAATTTTTATTAAAATGCATGACCAAAAAGAAAGTCTGTGCAGATTTATTTAAAAACTCAGGAAAATATAACATTGATAATAATTTAAAAATTACGATTTTCATACTTAAAAGTAGAACATAGAAAATATTTTTTTTAAATTTTTTATGATTTCCTTCTAATACAAATTTAAACCAAAAAAGAAAGAAAAAAAAACAGAAAAAAAAGAAAAAAAAAAAAAATTAATTTTTATTAAAATGCATGACCAAAAAGAAAGTCTGTGCAGATTTATTTAAAAACTCAGGAAAATATAACATTGAAATCTCTTATAATTCTAATTCCAATTCTTTGGATACATAGTGTTCATCTGCCCCCCTTTTACAATATTTCTTTCTTTATATGTATTTAGTTTTTGTGGGGACATTCAATTCGTAAACTAAGAAAAATGTTTCTTGCAAGACGTATGACATGTTTTAAGTGAACATCTAATGCTTATTTTTATGATGAAACATCAAGAACAAAATCAATCAATTAAACACATTGAAATTGATGTCACCAAAGTCATGTCATTCTCATAATGTGTACAATTTTGAGATTTTACTTTTTTACTCTAGGTGTACACGGACGGAGCCCAGGTTCCTGTGGACGCCTGTAACACCTGCATCTGCAGGGGTGGACAGATTGGCTGTACCAAGATAGCGTGTCCGCCAGGCTCATGTTCTAAAGACGGCTTGGTATGTAGAGGGGCTTTTCAGATTTAATAATAAGTTATGTGGTACATTTCTTTCACATCTGCTGGGAGCCTCTTTGACAAGGATTCTACGAAACGTAGAAATTAGAAATATTATATAATTTATAAGGTACATTGGGTAGAACAATTAACTCCCTTTGTTGTTTGTTTGTTGTTTTTTTTGTGGTTTTTTTTAAGTAATAAAATGCGAGCCGTTAAAGTGTCTGTCGTCTTTAGACGTTTTAAAATGTTTCAAACTAATCTGTCTCTTTCCAAGACGTAGGAAATTAGGTTCAAGACAGACAGGCTTGTTTTACCAATGATTTGTACAGATCACATAATTCTTAGGTTATATATTATATATTTTATTTTAAAATTATTACTTTTAACTTCAGCACATTGGTGTTTCTTAAATAACATGCCTGAAAATGTTGTCTTAAAATGGTGTCTCTTAAAATGGCGCGTCTTAAATTGGGTGTCTTAAATTGGCGCTTTTTTTTTTTTTACATGGCATTGGGTAGCTAAAGTTTTGTTCTGACTTTCATTATATTCATCAGCTGTACAATAATGGCGAGTCGGTGCCATCAGGAGACTGTAACACGTGCACTTGTAATAATGGAAGCATTGTGTGTACCAAAATAGGATGTCCAGTAACATGTACTTTCAAAGGAATTGTAAGTTTATTTTTATCTTTTATTTTTTAAAGTTATAACAAGATTGGAAAACCGCAGTTCATGGACTTAAATAGGGTTAACTTGAATATTTAAGAAAATTCTGTATTGGAGCATCTCATCCGGAGATAAAACTATCGTACGATGGCTTTAAAAATGACATTTCTTACTTTTGCTTGACATTCCTTATAGAAGGACAGACATTGGGAAAGTATATAAATGTATAAATGTTAAACAATTAAACACAAACTACTCTGTTCCTTCAGACAATGTTTTTATTTAAACATCGGTATTACAATTTAACAAAATCTGTGTACGCCGAAACTTTTTATTTCAATGAGTTTAATTTGTCCTAATTTTTTTCTTTTTTTTTTTCTTCAATACCAGTTGGAATATATCGCATTATGAGATTATTCAATTGTTGAAAGATTAACATGTCTCGCAAGACTAAGCCGCCTGCATACAATTTTAACTCTTTTAGACTTAGGGAAATTTGATCAAAGTGGTCTTGAAGTTGTTCATTAAAAAATAGTTCATTCTAAATTCAATCGAGTTTTAACATTTATCTTCAGTTTAAAGTTCTTAACCTATCTAAGATTGTTATCTCTGTATTTATCAAAGATAGTTAACTCTGTACTTAACAAAGATGGTTGACCCTATAAATATATAATCTGGTTAACTCTGTACAAAATCGTTGCATTTACTCATGTTTCTAGGTGTACCATGAGGGTGACCGCGTCCCCGTGGACCCCTGTAACACATGTATCTGTAGGAACGGACTGATTGGCTGTACCAAAAAAGCGTGCCCTTCAGGTTCTTGTCTTAAGGATGGCGTGGTAAGTAAACATTCTCAACAGTCCACGATTAATTCGTGTCCGCCTTGTAAATAAGTGAATTTGGTCGTGTTCCTTTTTCGTGTCGTGGATTAAAAGACAGGAACAAAGTGTAAATGTAAATCAAACTGTTTATTTAAGTTGTAATTGCGATGAAATAATTTTAATCATGTTTCGGCCCAAAGGTACCATCATTAGGTGGTATATTTTTTTAGTTATCCTCCTTCCCATGCGATGGAGTAGCTATTACCACGTTATCAAATGGCTAACGAGGCCTATACTGGAATGGTGGTCTCGACTGGATTTCTAGCATGAGAATCTTGACTCCTGGTTAATTTTGGCCTTCCTTAATGCTCTTTTTGATGCAAGGGCTTCGTTTCACTGCGTGTTTGACTCCTTCATTTACTGATGTTCGCCAGCTAGAATAGTTCTCAGCGGTGATCTCCGATTCGATTATTTTTATGTTATTTTTTCCCTCATCTTGTTTTTGCAAACATCCTTTGGAATACGGCCTTCCTCCATTCTTCTTACATGGCCTAACGAGCGAAGGCCCCTCTTGCTAAGAGCAGAGAAAATGTTACATATTTACTCAATTTCCAACATTTCGGTGTTAATCACTTTGTCCTGCAATGGAATTCGCAAAAAGTGATGCAGGCATCTTTTTATTTTTGATTCATATGGCACATGTGGTCCACATTTCACTGCCATCTATGAGCGCCATGAGCATACATGCCTGATAGACGCATAGTTTTGTATTCTTATTTTGTTTCGGATTATTCCACACTGGCTTATACAATTTAGCCCAAGTTGCTGCTTTTGAGAATCCTAATGGTCAATTCTTCGTTAACGGAAAGTAAGCTAGAGATTATTGATGCCAAGATATGTGAAAATATTAAATACTGACAGATTATGGCGCTCACTAGCTAAGTCAAAAAAGGACTGTGTTTTTGCGTAATGGCAGTTGTTTTATGTAGACTATTTGTCAGTTCAAACACTATACATGCGTGGAAAAATTGATTAACTAATCTTTGCATAACTTAATTTATGTGTGCGATGTTAAGGCAACATCGACAAATAACTGCCGTTCATTTATAAGCACAATTTTTACCATGGTCTTTGCACGAAGGCGGGCAATATTGAACAACCTACCATCAGATCTGTTATTGATGTACACTCCACTTGACAGTCCCTGAAGGCTAACTGAAGAAGACTTTAGAACAAAAGTAGAGAAGAGCTTTGGTGCAAGGCTCCAGCGCTACTTGACTTGGCCTCTGACTGGGAATGTCTCAGAGATCCCGCCATTAAAGGTCACTGTGCTGTGCATGTTTTCGTCAAATGACTGACCGATTGTGAAAAGTCTTAGGGGACAACAACCTATTTTATGCAAGGTACTGAACATGCCACTCTGGCTTACCACGTCAAAAGCCTTGGTCAGATCTATGAATAAAGTTTGAAGGGGCCTATGCTATTCACGACACTTATCCTGCAAATGGCGAGCGAGAATATCATGTCTATTGTTAAATTACAACATCAGAAGGCACGCTGAGACTCTGGGTAGCTGTGGTTAGCTAGACTCTGCAATCGCTGAAGGGAACATGTGGAAAATAGTCTTTTGTCTCTAATTATTTATATACACAGGATAAAGTAATGAAGTTTATCAGTATTCAAAAGTACATTCAATATTACTGAAAAAGGGGATGTTCACAAAAATTAATAGTTGTTCTAGGCATAAGAGGAGTTTATTACAAACTTTAAGGTATAATCTTTCAATTATGAAAATTAGGGAAGACAGCGTCATAAATTTTATTATTAATAGATATTGCAATATAAATATTTTTTACGCGACTATGCTTAAACTTCCCATTAAATAAAATTACTTGACAAAACATTCATTTAGATAATGACTTAATAAGAATCCCTATCAGAGGTAATTTCAGGGAATTTTATTTTGCGTGCCTATTGAACACAACATTACAGCCGTACATGCATACCTAGAGAATAATTATTTATTTGTCAAATATTCTTTATCAGATTTACGAAAACGGCCAAGGCATACCTTCAGGGGACTGTAACTCGTGTGGCTGCAATGATGGCGTGATTGTCTGTACCTTGATGTTATGTCCACCTACTTGTGAAAAGGACGGACGTGTAAGTTATGGCTAGTTGGTTGTCTGCCAGTGGCGTAGGAAAGGGGTGTGGAGGGTGGCAGTACGCTCCTGGCATCTTTTTATTCTTTGTATGGATTGAAGCATTGAAGCCAATTGAAGATACGTTTTTCTTGGTTAAAAATTATGTCCCGCCCCGGATGTAGCAAACCCTAGCTACGCCACTGCATTTCTCTTAATTTTTATATCAAACAACAAATGTATAGATATCTTTTTATTACTGTTTAGTGATAAATAGGAATTAGTTATTTTAAAGCTGATGATAAAGCGAGAAGCCCGTATAGGAATTGCTCATTCCTGCCAAAGACAATCAGGGACTGGAACAAGCTTTCAAAAGGAACAGTTGAGGCGACAACACTGGACACATTTGCATTTATTGCCTCAGGCCTTCTAACCCCCTGTGCATGATACCGTCATAAAGTAGCCCTTGCAACCAGCGAAATATCTTCAACACCAGGCACAGAAACATTGCAAATCCCCTGTATATACAAAGGAGCCAAGATGATCAATAAATTAATCGTGGGCCCTGTATATATAGTAGAAGAAGAAATGTATAGCATAGTACATTTTATTATAAGTTTCGTCTAGTAACATTGAAATGATAGGCTGTGATGGTCCTTAGAGAAAAGAGAGCTAACTGGAGCCAGGACTGTGTAATTTGAAATCTTCCCTTAAGATTTTTTTTTAAAAGGTAAAATCTTGCCGTCAGACCACCCGTGCAACAAATGCTGCTGCACTAATGGCGTCACCAGATGTACCTGGGTGGCAAGTTGGGCGTGTAAAAAAAAAAAAAGGGAAGGGTGTGAGAGTTAGTTATAAACTAACTTTCAGTTTTTTAAATTGTTAACATAACATCCAGGGAGGGGTTGGATTCATTTATGGTCAACATTCAGAGACCAAGGACAGTTTTTAAANTCTTGGTTCAAGGATAACTATAAACTTAAAGGGAACATTTTGATCTATTAGAAATCAGTTTGAATTTTAATTCAAAAAAATGCTTCTCATATATTTCGATCTTGCTGTACTTCAGTGACTCTCACGTTTTAAAATTAGAACTGTTGCTAACATAAAACTTCTTACATATATTATTGTGTTCTCATGTTTGATTGACAAAATTGAAATATAAATGGTACTTTTACAGCAAGGCAACTTTTAATGTAACAAAACAAGTGTAAATTTTTTTTTAATTTAAATTTTAAAAAATGTAAATTATAATTTTTTTTAAATTTTTGAAGCAGTCCATCCAGCCACAACTGTGATCATTTTATCGTTTAACGCCTGCTTATCATGGTCCGTACACCGCAGTCACTTGTTTATGACATGAATTGGGGGTCGGCGTACTTTTTTAAGCAATAGCCCCAAAAACGTATTGGTTTACGGCGACGTTATCTCCGATTTGAAAATAAGCAATATTATAGAATACATACAGTTAAAATGGTATAATATATAATTTTAAGCATAAAAGTTTTTAAAAATTAATTCGATAAAATAAATTAATGAAATACTGATCATGGTACAAGAGGATTTCTTTGAAAGATAGTTCACTTCAAATTATGGAAAAAATGTAATGTTTCATTTCGTTACCATGACATCAAAATGTGCGCCTTGTAAATCAGAGTAGTTGTAATTATTTGGGATACTATCTTTTGGGTTGAATAACTGAGTTCTATGCTTTGTTTCTACATTCATTTGAGAGAAAAATCCTTGTGCGCAAAGGTCAAAGGTTTTTATGTAAGACAGCAAGCAACCTATACACATTTACATCTCTTGACGTTTTGAGCATAAGACTTAGCGTCGCTAGGAGTTCGGGGACTGTGTACCTCAGCGGAGACACACTCACAGGGTGATGATACTGTATGAAAATTAGTAATTTGACAGAGATCAACCAGGTTGGTCTTATAAACACATCTAAATGTTATGTGTCGACTTTCACTGGAGTAGAGCACCACAAGAGTAATGTACCGCCAGGAAAGTGTACCAACAGGATAGTGTACAACCAAGGCAGGTTGCCATAAGAGTAGGGTGTCACCAGAGCCTGCTGATTCGGGGGAGTTAAATGGAGAATTGTAGATGGAGTGACACAAGGATTTTACCGCACTGGGCGGAACTAATTCGGAGTGACACAAGGATTTTACCGCACTGGGAGGAACTAATTCTAGAGACGCCATTGACTATAAGATTATTATAGGCGACTGGTCAAAATGACGTTTACATGACAAGATGGGATCACATGACGAGCCACTTGTAATTGCAAGCTATTGGCTTAGTTTGGATATTACTCAGGTCAGACACAGTATTGCCAGAAATGTCTGAAAAAGTCCTCAAATTATTGAAAAAAATAGTCCTTAAATGATTGAAAGATTCATCAGATGATTGAAAGAGTGTTCTGATGTTTGCAGCTTTCCGATGAGTTTTTAAAACTGACGACCAACTGGACAACATTTTGGGAGCATACATTGATATCATCTAGCAGTATTTAATTTTTTAAAATAGCAAATTAATGCGTTAAAATAAATCTTTTCTGTTCAATAATTTATTTATTTATAAGTAACCTAAGTAATTTTTTATGAGCAATCATTGCAAATTAAAGATGTTTATGATCTAAAAGAGAATTCATATTTAAGTTATGATTCATTTTTATTTTTATTGGGATTTCAATAGAAGCCATCTTGTCAGCTTTGTTTATTTGATGTGAACTTTTGTGTCCAGGTTTACTACGAGGGGGATCCCGTGCCTTCAGAAGACTGTAACACGTGTACATGTAAAGAGGGCAAAGTTGTGTGCACCAAAATATTTTGTCCTTACACTTGTACCTTC